ATGTTGACCTGGAAAGCGTGCCAATGCGGAGACAGCTGAGCTGCAGCCGAGTACCCCCTTCTCTACAGGGTATATGCAGGGAACTGCATGTACTTGACACAGAATAAGCTCGTTTTAACTGAGGCTTATGCCAACATATTTTACTCAGAGTGCATCAGGGTCCCGTTGCTGACAACAATTCATTTACGCACAGTAATTTGTCCTCTAGGAAACACCTCTCCCTGTTCCTGGACCTGCTCAGGGCATGCACCCAGGAACTCACACTCCACTTCAGCTCTCCCTTCTGGCTGCCACCGGCTTCTCCGCTGTCGTATGAAACGCACCTGCAAAAATTATTTTCCACACTTCTCCTTCTGATTGGGATTAAGTCATACCTGTTTCAGGGCAATACATCATTAAAAAAACCAACCAAACAAAAAAACCCAACTCTGTTCCCAATGGGAAGACCCTACAAAAAGCTCAACTCTCTCCTTCCTGTCCTCTTGGATACAAGCAAGCTAATCTGCACTTGGCCAAGTTGCAAGCGACTCGTTTGGGTCCGTCTTCCCTAAAAAGGGGATCCAACAGGAAAAAAAAGATTTCTTTTAAAGACTGACATTGGCCTCCAAGCCTCCCCCCCCCCTTTTTTATTTTTTTGCCTCATACCAAAAAAAAAAAGCCACCAGTTGCTAGCGGATCAGTGTGCTGCACCTCCCTGTCCCGAGGCATCCGAAAGCAAGAACAGGCAGTTCCCTTCGCTGGGTTTGCCCGATGTATCTCCCGCCGCTTTCACGCTCTCTGGGAGACGTGCGCAGCCCAGAGAACAGGATCTGGACTCCTGCCTTCCCCTCCTGGATGCGCTTTCAACTGTAAACAGCCTACACAGAGCCCGACGGGACTGGCAACCGCACGCCAGGCCCGGAGGTCTCTCTGCTGCCGAGAGGAGGGTTCCCCATTTCCCATCTGCGCGGCCGAGGGTGGAGACAGGTTTCCACCTGACACCTTATTGATTTCGTGCAGGAAAGCTCGGCAACCTCACCCAGGGCTGAAGGCTTTTCAGCATTTAAACCGCTTCTGATATAGAAATCCCCAACTGGAACAGCTCTTCTGTGCAATGTTCCCCGTCACCCTAAATGCCGCTATAGACTTGTTTATCCTATGCTAACTTGCAAGATACACTCCTGTACTGACGCCTTATTTCCTCTGTTTGCGAAAGCAGAGAGCTCACTAATCCCCATTTGCCCACGTCAGATTCCTAATGCTCTCCCCGGGCTTCCATCACAACTCGATAATCCTGGCTCACCCCCAGCCGTTAGCACGGCTCCCTTTGGTGGTATGGAGAACTGGGTTTGGATTTTTTGGATGATTAGGGGGGAATGGAGAAGGGCAAGATGCGCTGTAGGCTCCTCTCAGTGCCCAACTGCACGCTGCTATGCCACCACCAGGCACACCAGTGCATCTCCAGGAGCACAGGGAGGAGATACATCAGTAAAATGTGCTTTGGGGCCAGGAAAAAGAGCAGCAGTTGCTGCACATGAGGACCAAGATGGAAAGCAAAGATCAATTGGGTCTCTGGCTGTGCAGAGCTCAGGTCTGTTAAACCAATTCCCCAGTCACAGCTTGATTTCACATCTTCACTGCCACTTCTTCTCTTCCCTTCCCAACACCAGCTCTTTCCACCATGCCTCTCCTTCCATGCTCTGGTTTTGAACCCCAGGCTGGAGCTTGGAGCATACCGCCCCTCTCGCCTTCAAATCAGCCCTTGAAAATGCCGCACGCTGTGCAAAAACCGCAAATAACCCCCGGCTTGTGACGACACCGAGGCCATTAAACCGACCGTCCCTGGGCAGGGAGTCTGCTCTGTCCTTCACGAGCAGCGCTGCGCGCTGCTACAGCCTTGCGCAGGTACTGCTTAGGCAAAAGCTTCATCAATATTTAAAGATGAAGCCAGGAAGCCCATAGCCCAAGCAGCTTTCAAGCCCCTGATCAGATCAATGTCAAACAAAAGGCTGCAGTGTGAGGATGCTCCAGCGAGCGAGGCCCAGGCTGCAGCCTGGCACCGTCCCCTCTCCTTTCCAACGCCGATCAAGTTTCTCTCCTCCGGCCCCAGCGGGCTGGGACGGCTCCAGCACCGGTCCGTCACACGGAGCTGCCCATAGTGCACACCGAAAGCAGCCCCCACGAGCGTAGAGTTTCCTCTTAGCGGAGCATTTCCAGTTTCCAGCCAAATTCAGAAATCGGTGCTGCTACAATCCCCTTCTCTCGCTTTGAATATTACTTTGCTTTAATGCCAGCCACTTAAGAACAAAACATCTGAGGCTCAAAACCATGGGGTCATCGGTTCCAGCATCCCGACTCCGAGCAGATGCTCCAGAGTAGCAAGAAAACCATAATGCACTTAGCTAGTTTGACACTGCATGGGAGCAGGAGATCTTATTTCCCTTAGCTATAAATGTAACCGATCACAAGATTATCCGCAGCCCTTTTGCGAACACGCTGCTGGGCTCCCTACCCCCTGCAAGACCGAATTTAGCCCTGGCTTCCAAGACATCCACAGACGTACAGAGGTTGCCTCTTTTTACCCATCTTCATTCTTTTGTATCACTTAATTATTATTCAGATGCCAGAGAGCAGATGGGAGAAACACCATATCAAGAGAGGAAAAAAAAATAAAAATAGAATAATTACATCTAATGGCTAAAGTCAATAAGATGGGGATAAACTTATGTTCCTTCTAGGGAAAGTGGCGTAGATAAGGGAATGGAATCCTTCAGAAAGGACCCACCCAAGGGTAAGAGCATTCCTAGAGAGAGGCATTTATTGGAAATATCAGCAAATTAAGACTTTGCAAATAATAGCGAGCAGGAGGAATTTGCTGGTTAATACCATTACGGCTCTGGAAGTCATTTTCCTGCAACCAATGCACCAAATCACTCCCCATTTCATTTCCTCCCCACAGAATGACACGCAGAGCGGTTTGTCCCCGCTGTATCAAATTAACCGAGCACCGGTGTCCGGGACGATGCTCACGCTCACACCCTGGGCTTCAGGGTACGAAGAAGGCAGACAAATCCTCCGTGACCGTGCCAACGCTGAAAATCCATCTGCTCTCCATCCCCAGACAGAGACAGCAGGAATGGATACCAACATCTCCTCCATCCCTAAGGGAGATATATTAGCTGGTTACGTAATAAAACTAACAGCATGGCGCTTCCAAGGACTACCGTGCCGACAAAGCCCTTCCCCTTAATACCACCGGAGATTACAGCAAATCGAAGAAGAGTGGAAACAAGGCGAGGGGCTGCGGGCGAGGTTTTGCACAGAGGAAAATGCTGCAGTCTCTCCCCTTAATGCACTCTAAATCCCATCTGATTTCCAACTCTGCTGCTAAAAAAAAAAAAAAAAGGCAAAAAAAAATTAAAAAAAAAGCCCAGCCTGCGTTAAAATGATATTAATGCTGGGTGAGTGAGGTAGAGTGACTCAGGAAGGGTGTGGAGGAGGAGAGTTGTTTAGGGGAAGCATCCAGAGGAATCCAGACCATGAAAGCATTTTGGAAGCAGACCAAAAGGAGCCAGGGGTGCAGATCTGCTAAAGGATGCTAACGTGCTTTTACAAATCTGATTAGTTGCTGGTTTTGAGCATCCAGGGTCAGATCCTTCCTTTGATAAACACACATCACTTATCCCCCTCATGCCGGGCTGCCGGCAAAGTGTAATACAACACAACCCTGCTCTTCCCTCTCAATATCAGATGCATTCCCAGCTCTGAAGACAAAGTTTTCACTTCATTTCTGCTCCCTCTTCAGGCTGGCTGACTCCACAGCAAGAGACATCAAGTCGAACACCCCGAGTAAAATTACTCATCCCTCCACTGCCCCGTTTTTGCTGCCAACTAAATGTTGATGTTTTAAAACGCATTCCCTATGAGGTGAGGGTATTGATGGCAGTCGAACTGGTGGTCTCATCTAGCCAGATTTCTGCTTTATGTGCAAAGTGACAGGGCAAGGAGTCATCGCTCTGCCACCTGACTGCACATCCTTGTTTCCCCTTTGACAATTAGAGTCCAAACAGCCCCATCCTCAAGGCGACGTTTCTTTACGGCGTCACACTTCGCATCCTTTTTGAGCTTATTTTGACACACCTCCTTCCATTTCATCAAAATAACCAGTGAGTTCCACCTCTGAACTTGGAAAGCATGGTAAAGGCATCAGGCAAAAGTACAGTGCAACTGGAGGCAGCGGATGAGCACCAACTAGACACATTCGTATGTTCCAGGAGCGTCTCTTAAACCAGTAAGTTCACAGGAACTGGTTCATTCTCTACGAGCTTAGTTGGAATAACTGCAAAAGTCACCAGACTTAGCAGAAGAGATATTCAGATAAGAAGAGAGAAATGCTACGGAGAATCCCTAGAACTAAACAGTTGACTATGGTGGCAAGATGGAAAATAAAGCAGGAGGCAAACAACCTGAGGCTGACTGCCGAGGGGTGACTGGAAGGTGCCACCCAAGCCGAAAAGCGACAGTTGCTCAAGAACAGCCACCAAGCATACAAAAAGAAAAAAAAAAAAAAAGTCTTGAGAAAGAAAGGAAATGAGTGGGTAATAAAACGTTGGTCATACTCTCTGCCACTTCCCAGTGAAGCATTTTGGAGATGATTTTATTAAGGCACTGACTAGTTGTGTTAGTTGACCAAGTCTGGTCCTCCCTGTGCTAGGCACTGTACAGCTATGAAGCGGGGAGCAGTCTTCTCCCCCTCCCCCCCAAACTAAGGCTAAATAGCAAGCGGGCAGAAGGAATAAAATAGCAGAGCCACCAGCGCTATGGCAGTAAACAACAGGTTAGTGCTCCCATTTTGTCCTGGGCTTTTAAGTCACAACCTAGTTAGTGACAATCCGCAGTGAGGCAGAACTATTTTACTAGTGAAAACTTGACATTTCAAGTAAAGGAGAGGAAAAACTCCTAGCTAAGAGCAAAGATAACAAAAAAAAAAAAAAAAAGTAAAAGCTTTCGGGCAGCCTTACCATTGGCGTCTTGGACTCCGGTAAGTGCTCCTACTGCCGCTGCAGTTTCACCAGATAAGACAATTTGTCCTCCACCTTGAAGAGTGGCTTCAGCAAGCGTGGCTACTGCATGGGCAGCTGCTTCACTGCGGGCACAGGGAAGGAGAAATAGGAATTAGGAGGACCAAACAAACAAACAACTCCAGTAGCATTCATTTTAACCAGGCATCGTATGTCAAGAGAACAAATCCAGAGAGAGGGATTGATACTGGGTCCAGATGAAGTTAATCGGAGCAGAAAATCTACAGTGGAGGAGGAATATGTGGGAAGAAGCTGCTTCCACTGGGTTTTTCCAGTTTGCAGAGCTCTTAGTCACAGCATCCCTGCCTTCTTACCTTCGCCTCCTACTAAAGCTTTCAGACAACCCAAGTAGTTACACCACGTGGCTCCTTCCTGCCTCTGGTTTCTGGTACAAAACGCATTCTTTTGGCACTGTTACATTCCGGTACACTACAGATTTTAGAGCTTTACCCTTCGTTACTGATTCCAACCAGTTCACCTTGCACTGAAACAAGCCGAGAGGTTTACCATTACCAGGATCACATCAGCAGCTCTGCATTTACCTAAGATGGAGTACTTCTCCCCAGCCAAGTGGTTTAATAATTCTTTTTAATGAGTGATCGGTAGCTTAGCACAGTGTTCTTAAATTTCTTCATACAAATGAGGTCAGACCAAAGGTCCTTCTCGTGCAGCAATGCTGCTGTGAGAACAGCCAGTATCAGATATTTAGGAAGGAGCGTGTATGTTCCTTCCCTTCCTACACCCTCTCAGCTTCCGACAGCCGGCAGCGTATTGATTTCCTACATCAGAGACTGCATCTGGACCATCAGGTTTGTCTAACCCCCTTTCAAACCCATTTTATACTTTTTGCTTCCACAACATCCTGTAGCAATGAGTTCCACATTTAATTAGACGCTGTGTGAAGAAAAATTGCATTCTGCTACTCCGAAAACTACTGCCTCAGTCTGGCTGGGCAGCCCTGAAGTCTGATATTGTGAGAAACAGAAAATAACCGTTCTCTTTTTGTTTTCCTCATGATTTCATAGACTTCCAGTAATCTCGTTCCCAAGCTGAAGAGCCACAGCACACTTACTGTGCAAGGATTCTTCCTGCTTTCTGATCACTCTTGTCCTTTCCAGACTTTTTCTAAATGTAAGACATGTGTTTGAGTGAGGTGACCATTTCTCACACTATTCCAGACGTAGACACACCATGAGTTAGCCCAGGGGCCTGATCCTGCCCTGTTCTCTATGCCTTTCCCTAAAAAATCCCTACAATTCCTAAAATTAACTTACTCTTTTGACAATAAGTGCTCAGCAGTGATAAAACATTCCTGGAGGACAGTCCCCTGAATGCTCTCTGAACAGCGACTGGTAGCATATAGTTAGAGCCTCACTGGGTATATACAGGAGATATTTCTTTGTATATGTATCACTTTGCATTTATTGACATCCCATTTTATTTACTAATTAGTTGCACAGAGTGCTGTGAGCTTCCTTCAGCAGCTGTCCAGATTTCTCCGGACCTTTTGGACAACTATTAGCTACTTCTGGTGACCTACTGCTAGTCACAAAATTATTCCAAAGACTCCTCCTTCCTGCAGCTGAATCTCCTACCATTTCTTACCTTAATGAATTAAAAAAGTAGGTATTTTCTTCAGCACTTCATGTGGAAAAGAGACGGAAGGAGCCATCTAGGAGCTTCCCCTAGGATGCTTTTCCTTAACTGCCCCGCTCATTCTGTGGTAGACCAACTGACTCCAATATTTTCCCACGTACTTCCCACTCATTCATTCTCTTTCCCAATTTCCTGCTTAGATGCTGTACACTTTCCTACTGTATTCACTCAGGGTGTGTTTTCATTTCTGTCTCTCAGAATAGCTCTTAAACACTGCTACCGAACAAGAGTATTTTCCTCTGCTTTCCTACTCCCTCTGGCTTATCTCTCTTCTGAACCCGGAGCTACGCGAAGGCAGTTGTACTGCAGGAAAGCCACCTACAACACAGCAAACCTGGGGTAAGTGTGGATTTACTGATGTAACCCTGTTTCCCAGACTTCACGCAGCATTTATTTGAATCCACTTTCAAGGGCAATTGAGCATGTTAATAATTTGTTACGGTTGCATCCCTGAAAATAATAATGATCTGCAGCATAAAAGCTTTTCCCAGTTACAGTGTGCTCCACAAACATTAATTGGTTCAAATCAATGAATTAATTACCCGCCTCCACTTTGTCCTCTTTTACTAGAAGGCTTAATACTTCCCATCCTCAAACCTGACAGAGGTTGCATCATCCATCTGTTGGCAGATGTACTGTTCTACATGGGACTATGAAGGACTCTGCACTCTCTCGGTGGCCATTGGAAAAAGATTCAGAGATGGCAGCTTTCAGCTAAATTAGGCATAAAGTTTCCAGAGCTGGGATGAGTCACCAGCTTTCAAGGACCAGAGCCTTGCTGAGATCTTCCTACAGGCAGGGGAAAGACTGCAGTCCTACAGCTGAAAGCTACAAGGAGCATTTTGTGGCAAAGGGAGAAGTATGCTTCTTTCACATGGAAGGGTGTTGGAGGATAGTCACCAAGAAAGGTCTTCAGCCCTACCACGGTCAGTAGACAAAGAGGGTGACCACAAGCTGGGCAATAAAACACGAGGAGGTCCCTCATTCCCACTGCAACGCTGCTACAGTCTTCACATTGCTCCTGAACGACAAGCTGTTTGAACAGACTTATCACAGGGTTTTCCTGAGTATAAACAGAGCTGATCCTGTCTTGAGGCACAGTAGAGACTAAATGACTTGTTAAAGGCTCTTCCATTCATATTTTCCAGAAAACTGTCTTTAATTCTAACAACATTTATTTTTATTAAAGATTCTGAATTTCCTAAGTTAATGCAGGAAAAGGAACTGCTCACTGTGACCTTAAGAGCTAAAACTAGTACCAATGGGATGAAATTAAAATCAAAAGCCCACTGATGTTCTAGTCCAGAAGAACTTTTTTTTTTAAAAAAAAAAAAAAAAAACATAGAAAAATCTACTGCCCGGAAGTATGCAAGACAAATTCTCCGAGTTGGATTCCAGGAGACAGGGCTTTTCCCTGCACCTCCACGCCTAGTTACTTCAGCCGTTCTTCTTACAGCATCCTAAAAAGATCACTTATTTTTAAAAGGCAATTTTATAGCGAAACTACTAGCAAAAAAGCCTACTTAACCAACCTTGTATGGTAGCAGAAAAGACCGTATCTGATGGACCTGAATCTGGACCAGAGAGAGAAGAAACGGTTCTAGGCGCTTAGGTGAATCAGTTGCAAAAGGAATTTGGAAGCAAGATGCTGAACGTCCCCAAGATCGAGGTGACTGCTCTAGTAAGTCATGTATATAACAAGGTCTTGGAGCTTTACTCCGATCATCATCAGTGCAGACTTGTGCCTTGTCCTAACCTACGGCTGCTCAGTCAACAGCCTCTAGACCAGAATCCTGATTGGGATGAGGAAAATATTTTGTCTGCACCTGAGCAGCGTTAAACCTCTGATGCTGCTGGGGTGGACGCCGTGTTTCCTACAGTCCCTCCTGCTCTCTCAGGGCGCCACTGCGGTGTGCCACAGCCATTTCCAGTTTTGAAGAACAGCAGGCAAAGCTTAAGCAACTCACCGGCGCTGAGCAAAGACCCGCTGCGTGGACTTGTAGAAAACTACACTGCAGATCTGAGTAACCTGAGTACCACCAAAAATCTCACAGAGCTCGTTCCAAGATGAAGAGGCAGCATCACTATTGCAGCTCATTCACCTTCTGCTTCAGAAACACATTTGGGAGAACTCCCCAAAACACTGGCCTCTGGAAGAGATTCTGACTTTTAAGGAGAGACTGTATGGCCACAAAATAGGGAAATTCAGCCTTAGTCTTTTAGTAAGAAACCATTAATAGTATTGAGGGAGACGTAGGCCAGCGTATTTATAAGGTGCTATTAGCACACCATGACTCTCGCTTGTTTCACAAGCTCAATTCTGTAATTTGTTGTACAAAAAAGATCGTTTAGAGGCTACAGGTACTACTCATCTTTTCCTCTTTCAAGAAATTTCCGTGTCAGTGCTCTCCTGTGGTTACAGTGGAAATCAGGAACTGTCCTGCAGACACCTGGACACGGGCTGATGTAGGAATTTCCTAAGGAAAAGCCTCTACTGGGACTGTACACAGCGGTCTTTGCAACGTTAGAGTGAAAACCTAAAAGGAAACGTCACGTGCGCATGCTTCAAGCCTTCGTCTCTCACCCATACCTGTTGAGTGCCATGGTAACAGTTGCTCCTTGCTGCATCTCCTGAGATGCTGCCACTGCTGCTTCTGCTAATGATGCCACCGCCTGCGTGGCCTCGGATGCCTGCGTCGTCTGGATAGTCATCTCACCCCCCTGTAGCGTTGCCCAGTTCTGCTCCACCTATGGGGAAAAAACAAAAAGAAAGGCCATAGGATAGGATGTTATCCCACGAACGTACAGTTGCTCCCTAAAATGGGAGGGTGAGATAGTTTCAAGAGGTCTTTGCAGAATCCTGCACATGCTCTGACTCTGAGAGACAGGGAAAAAAGGGAGGAAGCCTGGGATCCAGCTGAGAACATTGCTGGACCGTACAACCCCTCTATCAGCCATGTTTCTCTAGTTTCTCTAGTCAGCCCGTGATTATAGTTGCTGTTCTCCATATGTTCAATCTCCAAACAAGAACTTGAGTTTTCTCACACACATAGAAAGCGCACCCCATAAATATCTACGAAGTCCCTCAACCTCCCACAAACCCCTCTCGTCCAGCCATGTCCGCAACAAAACGGGACAGTGTTGATCGTTGCTCTGCTCGGATCACCGCCTGCCAGCCTGGGCAGTTTATTAAGTAGCTGCATTTCTGCCATGCTGGAACCCCAGTGTGGATCATGTCCCACAGGGAAATGGGCTGTGTTTGCCTCACCATTTCTATTTGTCTGCACCCACCTGCTGTCATTTTGGGGAACAGTCCATGTTCCCATTCAGGATTTATTTGTACAGCACTTGTGAACTCGGTTCACAAGTTGGTTTGAGCCAGTTGGTTTGAGCCAACTGGAATTTCTTTGTGCCGCAGCAATATACTGAACGAAAGAAGACGGCAGATGGAAACTACTGTGTTCGTATCACAGAATCACAGACTGGTCAGGGTTGGAAGGGACCTCTGGAGATCATCCAGTCCAACTCCCCCGCCAGAGCAGGGGCACCTCCAGCAGTGGCACAGGACGGCGTCCAGGCGGGTTTGGAATGGCTCCAGAGTGGGAGACCCCCCCTCCTCTCTGGGCAGCCTGTGCCACTGCTCTGCCACCCTCACAGCAGAGAAGGCCCTCCTCAGGTTTAGATGGAACTTCCTATGGTCAAGTTTGTGCCCGTTCCCTCTTGTCCTGTCACTGGGCACCACTGAAAAAAGACCATTCCCATCCCCCTGGCACCCTCCCTTGAAGGATTTATAAGCATTGATAAGATCCCCCCTCAGTCTTCTTTTCTCCAGACTAAAAAGCCCCAAGTCTCTCAGCCTTTCCTCATAAGAAAGATGCTCCAGTCCCCTCATCATCTTCGTAGCCCTTTGCTGGATCCTCTCAGCAGTTCCCTGTCCTTCCTGACCCGGGAAGCCCAGAACTGGACACATTACTCCAGATGTGGCCTCACCAGGGCAGAGTAGAACTCCCTGACTTCAGACCTTTACGTAGGTAGGTTTCATATTCCTTAAAATTCACTCAGTCTCAGCTGCTCGTTTTTCACCTTGTCCCCATTTCCCCATTTGGGACTTCACAGCTCATGAGACAATGAGTGTACGGCCACAAAAACCGCCAGGATGTGAACTAGAAATATGCATTGGACCAAAAAAACTAAAGAAGTGGAGGATGAAGGCCCATCAGCTGACAAATCCTACTGGCTGCTTTGCAAGATGAAGATCTTCCCTCACCCTCCCCATCTCTGTTCTCATCCCCATAAACATTTCAGGCCACTCACCGTCTTGCTGAGACTCACAAATAAGAATGTCGTAGAAGGTGATAAAAAAAAAAAAAAAAGCCCTCAATTTGTTAACATGGAGAAAGCTAAAAAGTCCATAGAAGCAGAGCTGGCTCAAGGCTCCCCACAAAAGGACAAGTAAATTCTGCTGCCTTTGGGCAAGAAAAGGGTTAGTCCCATCAAAGGATGGAGAGGGAGAGAGAAGCTGTCGCGCTCTCACTCACATCTTCTATCACACACTCCTCAGCAGCTGCCAATCTGGTTTTCCAGCACTTGGGCACAGGCAAAGCTGGCGCTCGTCGTAGCTCTTTAGCCATCCCCAGCCGTCTGACGTTCAAGGCAACTGCTTCGTTCTCCTGTGCCCAGAGCTGACCCTGGGCGGAAGGATCCAAAGCAGGGAGGAAGCAGTGAGATAGTGCATTGCGAGAAGGAGAAAGGAAGTTGATTTGAGAGAAGGCAACATCTTTTTAGGAAAGCGGCAACCAAGTCCGAGTGCCCAGAGAGGAAGAAGTTGCAGATGGTAGAGATCTCGAGAGGGTCGCATTGAGTTTGTGGTACTCGTGAGCCATGCCAGAACCGAACCGAAGCAAGGCTGAGCTAGGAAAGACACCCTTCCCACCACCATGCAGAAGAGGAGCAGACATACATTTTTTTTCAAATACATAGCAACACACGTCGAAGTGATAAGGCAGGTCTCTGCCTCTCACTGTGACATTCAGTGCCCTGCAAAGATGCCTAAGCTTTTTCAGAACAGGGATGGAGCAAGGCCTGGAAAAGAACGGGGGGTGGACTGCCCAGGCCCTTCTCCCTGCTAATACGAAGGTTGTGCTGCTGAGATACTAGGGAGCATCCCTGCTCCACACTGCTTGGCATCCTGTAAACACATCAATTTACTCAGAGCTAACTGAGATTTTCACCCAGCAGGAGATACCAGGACAAAAACATCCCCGGAGAGGCTGCCAGCAGGCTGTGGATCTCCGCGTGCAGAGAAATAGCACCCATCCTCAAAGCAAGTTGACTTTTGTGTCTTTATTTTGTCCAAGATATTGCTTAGACGTTCCGTTCACGTTAGGAATTAGATGCCTGTGTTCCCTGGCTTTCTATTTATGCCATTGAAAAACTTCTTCCAGATCTCAAGAGATACAGCCACTTCTTGAAAACCCTCAAAAGCAGCCCAAAAGTATTTCAAGGTCATGGTCCCAGAGCCCGGCTGTGTCACTTTGGGTCTGAGATGGAAACAGGGTCTGGCGCAGAGTAAAGCTGTTCTGTGCTGCCACCTGTCGCTGCGAGAGCCCCATCCAGGCAGAGCGGACCAGACCTCGCCGCTCCTGCGCACAGACTGTCCAGCCGGGAATTCCAGCATGCAGAGGGGCAGAACGTGACCCGTAGCCTGATTTCCAGGTGGGTTGGGGGGTGAAAAGGGTTAAAAAAAAAAAAAATATAAAATCTTCATATCTTAAAGGAATGTTCCTTAAACACACACAAACCCCCTCGTTATTACTCAAAAAAAAAAAAAAAAAAGTAGAAAAATGCGTGTAAATTTGAGTGTTCACAGATTTTGGGACTGAAATGGTCTAATCAAGTCCTCAATAGAAACAACTTTGCCAAGTTGTAAAGGAGTGGAAGAAAGTTTGACAGTAAATGGAACAGTAACTCCACAGTATCTCCTGTTGTCTCTGCACTACTGTGTATTTACACAGCTCTCCCCGGGACTTACCTGCAAACCCCCCTAAAAGCTGCAGCAAAGGAACAGTCCCATTTCATCCACAGATCAGTGGCCAAAGAATCACAGGATTTGCCCCCAGCCACCCAATATTCTTTGCGAACCAAAGGCTCAAAATATCTCAGGCATCACTCCAAACCCTGAACTGACAAACCAGCACCCAGGACCCACAGCACAGATGAAACTGTTGCTCAATACAAGTACACTAAAGTGTATTTGAGTAGGTCATTAAGTCTTTATCTGCTATAGCAGACCTCACAAAATAAATAATCCATAGGAGATATCACAAAAATGTATGAAATTCCAAACTGAGGCTTCCGCCATAATTACATTCTTACGGTCCTGAGTCAAAATAACAATAGTTCAGGACATGAAATTTTATAGTCTCGCGTTCGCGTGTATTTTAACCCCTAACGTGACAGTGCGGGGAAGCAAGGCTTGGTGTTTTCTGTGACCGCTTAATTCTAGAAAATATTTATCAAAGCTCAGACAGGGCAATTCTGGTTTGTGCGCCATGAACACGACCCAGGTCCTTACCTCTCCATCAGTCACTGCGGAATAATTGACTTGTGCGACGGTAACTGTGGTAGGCAACTCTGAGGCATCGGCCAGCGTGGCAACTGTAGCACCAGTGCCAACCTGCGGAAGTCAACAAAATGCAGTTGAACCCGTTTGTTATTGCTGGGAAAAGTCCACATGATTCAGGCAAAGGGACACTCAAATGGTCTCGCATTAAAAAGCATCTCACCCACAGAGAATAACAGTAATTGCAGAGCTCACAGAAAATACGGATTAATGTCGAAGGCCCGAGAGAGGAAATCACACGCTAGAGCCACGTTAATCTATGGCAGCGTCCAGAGTGGATATGTTTGTCCAAGAAAGTTTTACCCAGCCCTTGTGCTGTCCCCTACATTCACGACAGAGTCCTCGCTATTCTCCCAACCTCACAAAGAGCAGCTGTGGGACACCACTGCCATTCCCTGGTGTGAGTGCGGTGCGCAGGTGGAGCCAACACGCTTCTCCCACGGGGCGTAAGTCACTCAAAAAGCCACTGAGTAGTCCTGAGTCAGAACATCCTGCACACCAGCCCTCATTTATAACGCCCCCTGCTCAACATTCACTGTGTCTCTCATCTCCAGGCACTTGGCAAACATTAGTTCATCCTCAATACCCCACTGCCTTTGGAAATGACCCCATTTAACAGCTGGGAAAAGACAAAGGCAGGGAGATGTGCAGCTTTGTTTCGAAGGAGAATTAAACCTATCAATGCTAGATAGTGAACGGGATCTCAGGTGCCCAGCACCTAAAAGAACACCAGTCAAAGGGAAAATGTACTTTAGCAGGTGAACAAACAGAACCAGCTTGGCAAGTCTGCTGGGCCGGCCTCGGTGGGGCAACAGAAAGCTGTTAGCAGTCACTGAAAAGCTTTCATTTGGGAAAAAAAACCAACACAAAAAACCTAAACCAAACTCTCACACCATGTTTTTATCTTCATGGTTGCGAGATGAGAATGGCCAACAGAAAACGATGTTTGAGACTTCGCTAAAAATGTGACGCTCAAGAGGGACAAACCGCTGGGCCAGTCAGGTACGAGGGGGCAGCGGTGCTTTGGAGCGAGGGGCACAGGGGAAAGTGAGGTTCAAATCCCACAGCCACGAGGAGCTCTTGGGAAGCCTCCCCACATGGGGAACACAGATTAAACAGCAGCAGAGCCACTGCCTGAACTCAGCCCCTTCTGCCCTGAATCGTCCTCTGTAAAACAGCCTAAGAGGCATCCTTACCGCAGGAGGCATCATGAGGATAAACAAATATTCAGTGTGTGTAATAGATTTATTGCACTTTAAGTGTAAGACGAAGAACAGGAGCTCAGAAATACCTAATGCTGTAGATTAAGCTCTGTTTCATGCCATAAAAGAAAGGCAGTCACAGTCCCACCACCTCTTCTCCCATCACTCCATCCCATTGTCACCACAGGCGTTGTGTGGCCACACACGATGAACTGTATTTGTTTGTAAACGGGTGTTTTTAAATCCGGGTCAGATCCCTGAATCGCTTGACCAAATAGCTGCAGAAATGCATGTGCTGCCATAACAGGAGACCGAGGGATGGGAGTGGGGAAGAAAGAGGATGAGACTGCTTCTTTGGGCGGGAGCACTGTGTTAACGAGCCTGCAGGCTAAGACACACAGATAAAGACAAGATTCTTGAAGGACGAGTTAAGCTACCAAAAGGAGTTCGCTCTAAACTACCTCCCTGACGCAGGCAACTCGATCCCGAGTCAGCTGCGCCGGAAAAGCAAAGCTGGAGGGTTTCGCTCACCTGGATGAGGGACACGGTGCCATCAGGGTTACTGAAGGTTTGTACCACCGTCTGTGACGGCACCAGGTGCGCTATACTGTGTGTGGTCGTAGTCTGCTGCTGCGTCTGCTGATCCTCAAACGCGTAGAGCAGGTCTTCACGCCCGTGCTGCTTGTAGCAGTTCTTCACGATAGTCCGCAACGCTTGGGTCCATGACACCTACCAGTAGGATAAAAATAAATAAACAAAGTGAAGAGTTAGCGTGAAAGTTTTCTGAACCACTGCAGTGCTGCTACTGCGGTCTTTTGCATGCTTACCTTTACTGCGTTTTATGAGGTGGTTTTCAACAAATTCTCAGACAAACCAAAGGCTCCAATACCTAATCCCTCTCTGCTCATCTTTCCCCTTTCTCCAAGATGAAGAAAACCACTCTGGAGAGGTATTGCATTGTTGTGTACTGACACAGAATGAGCACGTCTGGCCAAGGAAAAGGGAAGCTTCCCAAGGAAATCTGTTTTGCCAGCTTTCAAGGAATTCTGATTAAGGGATTTGGGCTGACAAGTAGAAAACTATCCCTACCTAAGAAAGCACCAACTGCCACAGCACCATTTCCAGCCTCACTAAGCATCCAGCCAGACCTACATCAGCCTGCGCAAGTCCTGCCGCTTGCACACCCTGGTAGCTTTCTTTGATTATCTTTGTGACGGGTTGGTAGAAACATCACCTGCATAGAGGAACCATGGCCAGAACTGATACCCAAGACCTTTTCACCAAGTTCTCTCTTTTTTTTTTTTTTGGTTTCACTGCACAACCTTGACTGCTCCCCTTTAAGTACAAAGGTCCCTGCTGCTTGAGGGTGGGACAGTATCCCTTCAGAGGCTTCAAGACACCATGATACAAACTCTACAGTAAGTGACCTGCATACTTGGAGAGCAGACTCGTCCTAGGCTGCGTAGGCTGCTTCATAAGGCCACAGAGGTGAGCAGGTTCCGCAGCTAGAAAAAAGGGCACTTGCTGCAGAAAAAGATGTGGCTCAAATACCGACTCGTCACACAACCCCAGCAGGGACAGAGCAGATTGAAGGTTACGCCTCTGTCATCTCACTGCTCTCCCAGGCTGAACGTCTGACACAAAGTCAAGGAAGGGCCGATGTCATCGTTTCTTCTGTCACTCGAGGGGAAAACTACTCCCACAAAAACTGGTTGTGAGCCCCTGTGCTCAATTTGAAGGCAGACAGACATGGGAGATACACACCCGCTGCTTCTGTTCCTCTGTGCGGACATCGCTGCGAACGTTGGCCCATGGAATGTCCTCAGGCCACCAGAGGGGCTTGCAGCTTTCCTTGCCCCAGCCTGGTTTCCCCCGACCTGTGGAATACTTCAGCATCTCAGGGATGAAAGCTCGCAGCTGTGCCTGCAACAAACCACATAGGAGGGTTGAGCATTTTTTTTAGGAAAACGTATCTCTGGTCGTTTTGAGGTACATAGTACAGAGTTATTACATTTAACATTCATCCTGTTGGAACCGTCAACTGGAAGAGTCCTAAATGCCTAAGGAAGATGGGCAAATACTTTACCATATTCTCCCAAGACTCAGCTGAGA